ATTAGGAAGAGATGTATTTTCTGGAGATTTCAGCTAGAGAGAATGAAGAGAAATGAGGAAGGCACTGCTCTCTTGAATTCTTACAATCTGCAGCTTACATAGTGTGTCTGACAGAGAGAGAAATGTGATTCTCTTCTAACAGAATTACAACTGTCACCCTATTAGGTGCTTACACGTGTCATACCAAATCTAAGCTAGAGAATCCACCTAGACTATGATCTAATGGTTCTCATTACATCATTTAAAATAGACAGAACAGAAAATAGAAAATGACTTCTGCTCTAAGAAATCAGGCAGAACAGGATTATATTTCAACAAAATCAAGTAGAATAAATACGCATAACATAACGGAGACATACTTACCTTCCAACTGACGACTCTGTCGTGAGACAGAGAGTCTCCATAAAAAATAGTGGAAATTATAATTTGGCAGATAAACTATTCTTCTTTTTAAATCCTTGTATTGAACCCTAAAACCTCTGGAAGAGAGAGTCACTTCTTTTTCTGGTCTGACTCTCTGAGAGAGAGAGAGAGAGAGAGAGAGAGAGAGAGAGAGTCACTTCATTATGGCATATTGGTTTTACAAATTCCGCCAAGTCCTTTTCTCTTCTTCCTCATTACATACCGAAAATACTTGCCACCTTCACTTCACTGGAAGTAGAAACTTTTACTTTATTAATCGCGGCATGTGTGCTGAAATTCTTTTTATGTTTTTTATGAATTATTTTTGTATATGTGTCAAAATTTTAATTTAGAGGAAGTAGGTATGTCTCCTTCTAAGTAAGTAAAGAAGCAGTGTCCTTATATATATATATATATATATATATTTTTTTTTTTGGTTGAACATTACATGGTTTCATCCAATAGATAAGAACCAAATGATACCGTAAAGCTGTCATTTTGTCAAAGTAGACTTTTTCTTGCTTCACTTTTCTTTCTTCTTCCTCTTTTTCTCCTTTTTTTGGACAAACCTTTTATTTTCTCTCTCATTTTTCCTTCTCTTTTTTTCTTTCCTCTTATGTTTCCTCTTCCTCTCTTTTCTTCTCTCCTTTTTCCCTTCTCTCTTTTTACATTCGTCTCCGTTTCCTCTTTCTCTGTCTCTCTTGCTCCTTTTGTTTCTCTCCTTTTTCTCCTTTTAGTTCCTCTCTCTACTTCTCTTTTTCTCTTTCTCTTGTTATTGGTGGCCTTCGTTGGCCTTGGTTTGATTGTCGATTTCGTTGTCAGATTTTGCAAATCTCAGTTCTGAGTTTTCTTGCGTTTACTGGCAGCTCCGTTGGTTTTTTCAACTCTACCAAATATGATCGTGTTGTTGGCTTTCCATGGCCACGTTATTTTTTGGGCTCAAGGAGTAGTTTTTTTCATTTATTCTCAAGACTTGTTTGGGATTGCTTTTCTATGAAGTACTTCTGCTAATAAGTGTTTCTAACAAAACCGCCTTTAATTATGAAAATCTTGAATTTTCATAAATAAAAAAATCCAAGTATTTCCTTCTATGATCCAAAAGTGCTTCTAAACTTTTCTGTCAAATACTGTTAGAAGCAGTTTTAGTTGTCAGAAAGCGATTTTAACCCTTCTAAAAGCATTCCAAAACAACCCTTATCTTCTTGTCATACACCAATCCAACAACCCACTATCTACCACTATATTGCTTTCTATTTATTAAGCTTTGTATTAGTTGTACCACTTATATTATCTCTGGTTTATTATTATCAATCTTGTATAAATACCTCCTCCTATGGAGATGGAATATAATCAATCAAATATTATTAGAGAATTACCAAAATCTTTCATGGTATTAGAGCCTCATGGCTAACCCCAAATAGCAATCCTCTATTTTCCAACATTGAGATCCGTTGGAGCCCCTCACCCATAATAGGTGTTTGTCCTATAAAGTCCTCTTGCTACTTATTACCTCCATCGAGCTCTCCCGTGGTAACCCACGACAGCTCCATTTGTTATTGGAGTGATTTGTGGACCCATATTGACTTCTCTTGCACGCTAAAGATTCTTGCATTAAATGTAATTGATTTTCTTTAATTCATAATTTGTAACTTTAAATAGAAATATGAATTTATTACTTTACTTGGCCTCTAAGACTCTGTTATATTATAAATATGGCCTCCTACAAGGAGAGGAATACACAAAAAAATTTCACAACTATTATTCGCTCATATTTTAGCATGGTATCAACGTATCGATCTTGGGATTGCCGTCATGAGGGAGGACCATTTTTTCATTCCTATGGAGGTAATGTTAGTAGTATGCCCTTAACGCCAACTAATTATGTGATAATTAATGTTAAAGACATCTTATGTAATGACTTATTAAGTTATTCAAGGGCAAGATCAGTTGTTTTCAAAAATGATATTTGGTATATTATCATAACACTAAAACAACTATAGTCCTAGGAATATATACCACTAAACGCAATCAAATACGTGAGTTCTAGAATGGAAGTCTTCACTCACATGTCAAACTAGAACTCATAGATTGCAATGGTGCAAACTAATTCTTAGACCTGAGACATCATAGATGTCTTGTGGCTATGTTGTTTGTTTTTTAGGGTGCTATACAATTGTGTTGTAGAAGACATGACCTAAAGATGTTTATCCGGACTCTTAATAAAGTCATGGAGGCAAATGAATGTACAATAAGGAATCTCCATTCTCAATAAAGAGAAAGAATGCTCCAAGAATATGATTGATCAAATCTCTGCGCTGAGTAATGGATAAGATTTGAAAGAAGACTTTTTCAATTAAAATGGACATGGGTCCAGTCTGTTGTTTGGTTGGCTTAATTGTATCACACACTAGCTAGGACTTAATTTTTTTTTTTTTTTTAGGATATGAATCTAGCATACACTGAATATCAAAACCCACGTCGAGACATGGGTTTCGAAGACTACCTCACATTGTCTCCTCATGCCAAACGTGAAGTCTCCCTCGCGTCGTCTCCTTCGCTTCATCTCCTCTTTGTCGTCTCCTCAACGTTGTCTCCCTCAACCACTTTGCATCATCTCTACTCTCTCTCCTCTCCTCTCCTCTCTCATCTCTCTTTTGATTTTTCTTTTTCAAAAACTGATTTCTCTATTTGTTATCCTATTTTTCTGGGTTTGAGTGCTGTAGTTTTTAGGTTTGATTTCTTATGATACCTTTCATTGAAGATCTCTCATATCTGTTCCCATCTAGAATTTGCATAACTTTTTTTTTTTTTGGATGTTGTTTTTAGTTTGTATTTTCTATGATCTGAAAGCTATACTGTAGATTTTTTTTTCTTTTGTTTCAAATTACCATATTGGTTTTGGTCTACAATCTTTTCTCTTGTATAATAAAAAAAGATAGATTTTCTTTTGATAGAAAAAGAATGACCCTTTTTCTTTTTCTGGTAAAAAAGATGAATTTTGGGAGTTTACTATTTTGATATTGCTCTAGCCTAGGTTCATGGGCTGCTTAGTTTGTTTGTTGTTGGAGTTTACCCCTTTTTCTCGCCAAAAATAAGAATATGAATTTTTTATCTGATAAAGAAATTTCGATTAGAAAAAAAAAAAACTGGGAAAAGAGGAAGAAAGATTCTGAATACAAAACAAAGTAAGACATTGATGCAAAAAGTTGGAATTTTGCATTTGATTATTGTTAATAATAAAATAAAATAAAATGATTTATTTAAAAAATTGTTATTTTTAGTTTGTTGTTTGGTGCAAAAAATGAAGGATTGAATTCAAAACCTAGCCATCCCAATCCAATGCTTCAAAGCTCATCCTAACTAGTCCAAGCCAGTCCATCAAATGGGGCCTTAAGACATGTTAGTTCCTATCTTTTCAATTTTTATAATCAAATACCCTCATCTTCTAAATTTATTACAATATGGTTCCGCAGTTAGGTTTTCTGTCAAATATATCTGTTAGTTGCTTACGTGGCACTAGGGATCTCACATTTTCTTTTCTTTTTTTTTAAATTTTAAATTGATTAAAATATTAATAAAATATTAAAACAAAAAAAATGAAAAATAAAAAAATAAATAAAACTCTCACTCTCCCTCCTTACGCTTAACAAAACGAATCCAACAACAGACCCCTCTCCCCCAAAACCGGATTTCCCTTTGTTGTTGAGAGACCACAACCCACCACCGCTCCTCCCTTAGGTTATATAGTTGAGAGCTTTGACAATCGCCTTCAGTTGGCAATTGCCAGATCGGAGGAAAGGTGTCTTTAGTAGCTGAGATCATGACGATGTCATCAGTCTACAGCTCTGTTTGCGCGCTAATCCCCCAAAGAATGTACTTAGTTGATTACGATACAAACAGCTACTTTGTTTCCCCTTTGGATATATAAGGACCCTCCTGATTGTACCAACCAAGTCAATTTAGGCCATAGAAAATAAAACTCACCATTATGTATCAACACAAATATCTAAGCACAAAATTATGCGCTTGTAAATTGGAGGTATGGCCAAATAGGGACCAGTCATAACCAGTAAGTCATAGTAAAGCTTTGTCGTATTTAAGTTAGAGAAGTCAATTTTTCATGTGAATGTCCCAGACACAAGGTCCTTTCTCATTCTTCATTATTCTACCAACATCAAAGGTCAAAGTCAAACCCTTAAATACATATCTATAGTAAACAAGTAGTGCCCATAACACCAAATATAATTAAGCCAAATAAAAAAAAAAATGACACCAAACAAATATCACTCAACAAAACTACTTTTGAATAAAGCGTAAAAAATTAAGCTGCCACATATCGTAAGTCGGTTGGTGCTCTTCAATATCTTATGTTCACTCGCCTTGAGATAGCTTATGCAGTAAATATTGCTTGTCAATTCTTGTCTCAGCCTACTTATGTGCATTTTGGTCTTGTTAAATGTATCTTTGATATACTCAGGGACTCACTCATAGCATGCACTATACTTATGGTCTTATCTCTCTAGTTGGGTATAGTAGGGGTGGACATTCAAATTGTCCTCTGCTGCCCACCACGTCTAACCCGCTAAGTCTCAATGATTTCATAGAATCGAAAAAAAAAATATGGAAAGAATCAAAGGGAGTTGCAAATATAAATTTTAAAAATTCATAACCGCCCAAGTTTTACTAGTACATATTATATGTAACACTGGATATCTTCGTCAAAGAGACAAAAATATGCACCCAGGAGAAACTTGTACAGTAAATTAAGTTAATGGATAGCCTAGCTCGGTATCCATATCTATTTTCTTGAACTCTTCTTCTGCCTTTGCCAAGTCTCTTTTCGCTGCATCAAGATCAACTTCTGCAGCAGCGAGGACATCCCTTCGCCTCTTTATTTCATTCTCCAAAATTTTCACATCTTCTCTCAGTCTATCAACTCTTCCTGCCCTTTTCTTCATGACCAAAACAGATTGAACATGAGGCTCCAGCCAAACCAAGTCAAATTTGAAGGTCTCAAGCTCCTCCCATAACAGTTGAAGGCGTTTACAAGCATCATGGGTCATATCCTTGGCCTTTGTAGTCTTCAGAAAACGCAAGAGTCGGCCCAAAGCT